GTGTAATTTACCAACAAGCTTGTTCTTCTAACATTGAATGTATAAAAATGATCACGTATGTGCGTGTGAGCAAGAGGCAATATGTAGTCAGGCAATGAATCTATTTCTGATCTTCAACTTCCAATTAATAATAATCAAATATAAATTCTGTGTTTGCCAACATTTACTATTTCTCTTTTGATTCTATGTTTTTTTCGTGAAGGGTGCTCAAGAGTTCGATTTCAACACAGTATGCCCACTTCACTGTTGCCAGGTAACCAGAGATAACAACTTACATCCTTATAGGCTGTCAGTGATGTCATTCAACTCTTAATTAGTTCATCTGTAACCAAGAAGTTTAGTTTTGTTTCATTTATACAAAGTTGCCATTTCCAAAATGGTGGATTCAATACTCCATATTTATTAGAAAATGTAAACCTTTTAATTTGACCAACTTAATTCAATACTGACATGCTAAATCTGGCCATCCTGACATGCTAAATCTGGCCATCCTGACATGCTAAATCTGGCCATCCTGACATGCTAAATCTGGCCATCCCGACATGCTAAATCTGGCCATCCCGACATGCTAAATCTGGCCATCCCGACATGTTAAATCTGGCCATCCCGACATGTTAAATCTGGCCATCCTGACATGCTAAATCTGGCCATCCTGACATGCTAAATCTGGCCATCCTGACATGCTAAATCTGGCCATCCTGACATGCTAAATCTGGCCATCCTGACATGCTAAATCTGGCCATCCTGACATGCTAAATCTGGCCATCCTGACGTGCTAAAATCTGGCCATCCTGACGTGCTAAAATCTGGCCATCCTGACATGCTAAAATCTGGCCATCCTGACATGCTAAAATCTGGCCATCCTGACATGCTAAAATCTGGCCATCCTGACATGCTAAAATCTGGCCATCCTGACATGCTAAAATCTGGCCATCCTGATATGCTAAAATCTGGCCATCCTGACTTGCTAACATCTGGCGATCCTGACATGCTAAAATCTGGCCATCCTGACATGCTAAAATCTGGCCATCCTGACATGCTAAATCTGGCCATCCTGACATGCTAAATCTGGCCATCCTGACATGCTAAATCTGGCCATCCTGACATGCTAAAATCTGGCCATCCTGACGTGCTAAAATCTGGCCATCCTGACGTGCTAAAATCTGGCCATCCTGACGTGCTAAAATCTGGCCATCCTGACGTGCTAAAATCTGGCCATCCTGACATGCTAAATCTGAGCATCCTGACATGCTAAATCTGAGCATCCTGACATGCTAAATCTGAGCATCCTGACATGCTAAATCTGAGCATCCTGACATGCTAAATCTGAACATCCTTACATGCTAAATCTGAACATCCTGACATGCTAAATCTGAGCATCCTTACATGCTAAATCTTGCCATCCTGACTTGCTAACATTTGGCCATCCTGACTTGCTAACATTTGGCCATCCTGACTTGCTAACATTTGGCCATCCTGACTTGCTAACATTTGGCCATCCTGACTTGCTAACATTTGGCCATCCTGACTTGCTAACATTTGGCCATCCTGACTTGCTAACATTTGGCCGTCCTGACTTACTAACATGTGGCCGTCCTGACTTGCTAACATCTGGCCGTCCTGACTTGCTAACATCTGGCCGTCCTGACTTGCTAACATCTGGCCGTCCTGACTTGCTAACATCTGGCCGTCCTGACTTGCTAACATCTGGCCGTCCTGACTTGCTAACATCTGGCCGTCCTGACTTGCTAACATCTGGCCGTCCTGACTTGCTAACATCTGGCCGTCCTGACTTGCTAACATCTGGCCATCCTGACATGCTAAAATTTGGCCATCCTGACATGCTAAAATTTGGCCATCTTTGCATGCTAAATCTGAGCATCCTGACATCCTAAATCTGAGCATCCTGACATGCTAAATCTGAGCATCCTGACATGCTAAATCTGAGCATCCTGACATGCTAAATCTAAGCATCCTGACATTCTAAATCTGTGCATCCTGACATGCTAAATCTGAGCATCCTTACATGCTAAATCTGGCCATCCTGACTTGCTAACATCTGGCCATCCTGACATGTTAAATCTGGCCATCCTGACATGCTAAATCTGGCCATCCTGACATGCTAAATCTGGCCATCCTGACATGCTAAATCTGGCCATCCTGACATGCTAAATCTGGCCATCCTGACATGCTAAATCTGGCCATCCTGACATGCTAAAATCTGGCCATCCTGACGTGCTAAAATCTGGCCATCCTGACATGCTATAATCTGGCCATCCTGACATGCTAAAATCTGAGCATCCTGACATGCTAAATCTGAACATCCTGACCTGCTAAATTGAGCATCCTGACATTCTAAATCTGTGCATCCTGACATGCTAAATCTGAACATCCTGACCTGCTAAATTGAGCATCCTGACATTCTAAATCTGTGCATCCTTACATGCTAAATCTTGCCATCCTGACTTGCTAACATTTGGCCATCCTGACTTGCTAACATTTGGCCATCCTGACTTGCTAACATTTGGCCATCCTGACTTGCTAACATTTGGCCATCCTGACTTGCTAACATTTGGCCATCCTGACTTGATAACATTTGGCCATCCTGACTTGCTAACATTTGGCCATCCTGACTTGCTAACATCTGGCCGTCCTGACTTGCTAACATCTGGCCGTCCTGACTTGCTAACATCTGGCAATCCTGACATGCTAAAATCTGGCCATCCTGACATGCTAAAATTTGGCCATCCTGACATGCTAAAATTTGGCCATCTTTGCATGCTAAAATTTGGCCATCTTTGCATGCTAAATCTGAGCATCCTGACATCCTAAATCTGAGCAT